GCCGCTGATTGGTATCCTTGACTCAGGGCAGGACGCCTGGCGCCCAGGGTCCACGTCCAGAGCGTCCTCCGCTGGGCTCTGGGCACGCCCTGGTGTCCGATTCCCATTGAGAACCCGACACCAAGTAACACCCGAGATAAGATGCCGACCGCAGATGGCAAGGGTTACCTCGGCGTGGAAATATTGACAAGTGAAGATGTTGGTCAAGCCTTCAGGACTTCGATAAGCTGATGCCCTCAGATTTGATCCGGCACCAAGAGGTTTGCCCTGAATCTCTTACCCAGGACGCCGGACCGCAATCGTGTTTCACTTTTCATGGATTTTATGGCAAACGAGGGAAGAAGTGTAACTAACTCAGAAAAACAACAAAAAAAAGCAAATGATTGCCCCATTCCTAAACGCAAGGGCAGATTTTGAACAACTGTGAATGGGAAATAATTTGAATCTTATTTGCAGATGACTGCAAACGTCTAATTGTACATTTTTTACTTTTTAAAAAAAAGACCTCTTTACAAATCTTTTTCTAATGATCAGTGCCGAAATCATTCATCTGTGCACTGAGAATGCACTGCATGCTACTTGCACACCAAAACTTAATGTTTTTTTTCTTCAATCCTCCCACTGGAGATAAGTGTCTAGAGCGGGCTCCGCAGCACTCCCTACACACACAAAAAAAGCCCAACCCAGCCTACGCAGAAGCCCGCCCACCCGACCGACTCCCGGCTCCGGGCTTTGCGCGGGGCCCGTCACTCAAGTGACGTATGGCCCCGCCCCTGCACCAAGCTAGTTCGACGCGTACAAACAGATGATGTCATTGTATCCACACGCGCGTGACCCCAGAGCTCCACGCCGCGAAGCCATTCGCTGCGCCCCTCACTCGTCAAGCCACGCCGCGCGCTGACTGGCCGCGGCCACCATTCTCCAGGTCCCAGACGCCCCCTTCCGTCCCCCACCCTCCAGCAAATAATAAACAATCGAGTAAAATTCTAAGGAGTGGTGGGAGGTAGGAGGGGAGAAACCAGAAGCCAGCCCTCCGCGTGCGGAGGGAAAGTTAACCGGTGGGGGAGGTGAGAGGGCTGGAGTGGGGACGGGAGGGAAGGAGCACACCTGGGGCGATGGGTCTCGCCGCGAAGCGCAAGCGCCAGAGGAGGAAAGTTGGAGAGCACTCAGCGGAGCACGCCTGGCATCACACGGGGGCCCCAGGGCCAGGGCGGCCAGGCGCTCGGGGCTCGAGGGACATTTCCAGATGTTAAGTGATGGCCTTTGCACAACTTGTATTAAATCGCTACTACACTCTTGTTCCTGAAAAAGTGTCCCCGCTGCGGGCTTCCGGCTCCGTCCGAAGCTTGGGCCGGGAAGCTGGATCATGAGTTTCATGCCCTGTCCAAGCCTTGGCGTAGGCTACGAGTTCCCGCCAGGGAACATTGTCTTCTCTAAGCCAGGGCTCCGCTCCCTCATTCACATTCCGGGAACAAAGCCACCTGCTTCTCTTCTACCTGGAAGCCATGCCAGGCCAGACTGCGCGGCCACCGGTTCCGGAGCAGATGTCACACGCCCACATGCTCACTAGCACACAACACCCTGGCCGCAGGTGGACTCTCATCACCCTGCGCGGTTTGTGCCCTCGCTCTCTGGCTCTGAATGTCCCCAGTCCATATGTGCCCGCCCGCCCGTCTCTCGGGCTTACAGTTCTGTCCATGTGCAAATGCGCTTCTGTTACTTGGGGTTGTCTTCAGAGGCGGAATGCTGGAAAGGCGCGTCTGACTGCTTTCTGGGGTTGCTCCTCTGCATGAGGCTTCACTCCTCTCATTGTGGGCCTGTCCGCTGAAAAGCCCTGAGTTTGCATTTGTTTTGTAGCCTGGTGGTGCGGACTCTGATGAAAACAGCTGTCAGCTTCAAGTGTCCTTGCGGTAGGGGTGGGGTGGGGGTGGGGGTGGGGGGAGCTGGAATCTGTTGTTCAGCTCTGAGGATAACAGGGAGGCCTGCGCTTTGCACCATGATACCGCATAAAATCCAAAGAACTTTCAGTGGCTTCGTTTCCAATACTTTAACACACTGTAAAATGAATCCACTCTTTTTTTTCTCTAAATCTAAACAATCTTTTGTCATTAAAGTGAGGATGTAGAAAGAATGTGTTTACACTGGCTGGGCTGTTGGCCATTTGGATTTTCACTAAAAACATGTTGTGTCCATTTTCAAAATGCATATCCCAAGGGCTTTCCAAAAAATGAAAGAGTTCAAGGTTGACCCTCTTGGTAAGGGATGGGGTGAGGGGCATAATACAGGCA